CCGCGCCCCCCGCGCCGCTGACCGCCAGCCCCAGCACGCGGCGTCTCCCCACGCGGCGCACAGCACACATGAGGGGTCCGTCCCCTCATTCCAACCCACATTCCCCAGCCCCTGCCCCAGCCACCCCCCTCCGCACCTTGATACCCGTGAGGCACTTCCCATCATGGTATAGAACTATCTTGGTGATCCACCCGGCGCGCTTGGCTGCGCGGCGGGGGGCAAATGGCAGGGCGCGGCCCGGCGGTCGGACGCGCGCGGCATTCACAGCTACGCCCGTGCCCGTGCGTGCGCGCGTGCGCGTGTTCACCTGAGGCCCAGCCTCGCGCTCGTGCCGCGGGCCCCGCCTGCTTGCTAGAACGCAGGGCCGCGGCCGCACGCAGGCGCGGCGGGGCCGGCCGGCGCGCCCCCGGGGCGCCGCACTCGGACGCTCGTCGGGCGGCCGTGCAGGCGCGGCGCGCGCGGCTGCGGTCCGCCGGCGGCTCACCCGTCTGGTCAACCGCATCGCCGCACTTTGACCCGATCAGCGGAGTGTCGCCCTTGATCTGGGGACAGGTCGCCAGCGCGGCTGCGCGACGCGGCGGCGGGCGCGCGGGGTGGGCAGGGGGGGCGTGGGCCGTGGGCCATGGGCGCAAAGCAGGGTGCAGCGGCGGCGGCGGCGGCCTGGGGCGGGGGTGCACAGGCGGCAGAGGCCCGCCCGCGGCGTCCGTAGTCAACCGTCTGCGGACGGGTGGGGTGACGCGGCGGCGGCGGGCGCCGCGCGGGCGGGCTGCATCCGTGGACGAGGGCTAGATTTCTCACCGAGCGAGCTGGGGGCCGCCGAGGCGAGGGCCACCAGGGCTGCGAGCGCAAGAGCGCGCAGCATCCCCGCTGACCTGCGGGGGTGAGAACGCACCGGAGGCGGGCCTCGCGTCAATGGCTGGGGGCTGGTGCTGCCCTACAGCTGGTATAATCTGCGTGATAGCTCTGCTGATGTGCATGGTTTATTTTGCACCCGCTCAACGGCGGTGGGCGAGCGTCGCCAATCGGAACCCGGGTGCTCAGGAGCCCAGCGGCTTGGCCGCCTGGCTGACCTGCGCTAACTATCCACAAGGAGTGTGTCAGTCTGTCGAGCCCTAGCTCAGCGACGATGGCACCGTGTGCTGCACAGGGGGGATGCCTCCGCTGCAGTGACGATGGCAGTGACCCGTGCTGCTCGACAGCGATAAAATCAAGTCCGCTAATCAAATTCCTACACCGGCGCAAATGACAACGCGCTACGCTGACAAGAGCCCACTGTGCAACAGGAAGTCACCCAAACAGCCCAGAGCGCCGCAAGTGCCGGGCCGGAGCTGGGACTGCATGTGCAGCTTTCCGCATACACACCATTGGGATATGTAAGGCCCCTGAGCTCAACAATCCCTTACTAATTTTTGTGCGAGAGGTCCGGACGGCAACGAGAGGCTGCCGAGGCACTGGGGTGGACAGGAGGCGCGGCTGTTGGGTGACGGCGCAGGATGCTGCACTTGCATGGCAGTACAGCCGTGGGGGGGCAGCTGTGGCGGCTGACCTGGAAGCTGTATACACACAATACGCTGCAGCTGCACATCAGAACACCCGCGTACCCCTGCACACCCAACGTGTTTCATTGCGACCCCCAACCGCACAAGCAATGAAGCCAGTCGACCTAGCTTGTTTTGCTCCTTGGAGCGACCACGCCCAATGTTGATCGTATTATGGTGACGTGCGGCTCTCAGGTCAGGATGGTTGACTGCATGCCGTGTGCAATACGCCCCCTTCTGAGAAGCCTGCCCAGTCCAGCTGCCGCACGACGTGCTTGTGCAGCGACGGCGCCATCCGTTGCATAGCGACAGCAGCTCAAGATTGGCACAAGAGAACCAGGCTGTGGAGGGGCTTCTGCCGCGAGCAGGGGGCATCCATGGGCACTGTAGTCACAAAGTCCAGCCTGGCGCAAAGCCTTGCGCCGCGCCGCGGCCTGGCAAGTTGCCGCAACGTACGGGCAGCCTGGGCGGTGTGATGTATGAATTACACCAGAGGAGTATGCTGAAACTAATTCACGGGCGTGCCAAGGCAGGGGGTCGCTGTATGATAACAGATTCGTGCGCTGTGCGTGCTGGGAGCCTGTCAGTAAGCAGGGGAGGGAGTGCACATAGCGTAGGCGAGAGCGCATGGTACCATATGTGTGTATCTCTTGTTTATGTTTTTGGAAATTGATTGTATTCAGGTCCAGCGCCCTCAGGAAGAGCACAGCGTCGCGTGCTCTCACATTCCAAAAGCATTTGCATCGCCGCGCTGCCGGCCGCCATCGGCATCCACCTGCCTGATAACTACGTTCGCAAGAGTATATACCATTTTGTGTTGTGTTATCGAGTGCTTTTCTCAACATAGTTCATGCAAGTCACATTGTAACAAAGTCGTCATCAGGGCCGGCCGCCATATCTTAGTGGATTGAATGCGTGAAAAACTGATGTATTAGTCTGTCCAGAGTGCTAGCGGATACCCTGGCGGGATAGTCGATCCGCGGTGGTGAGCAATTCTGTGGCCGTTCGATGCAGGCAGAGATGAATGTACCATGTATGTGAGGCTGAAGTCTTGTACTCTCAATGCGCGCTGCTCTGCGGCCTGCTGATGTCAGTCACACCAAGCCGCTCGTGCCGTGGCTGCCGCCTCCGCTCCCCTGCGCCATGCGCCCGGCCAAAGCAGCATGCCCGCCGCGGCCGCACCTGTGCCGCCGCATGCGGCCTTCTCTTCGCACCCAACTCCCCAACTGCGCGCCATGCACGCCATGCACGCCAACCCCCAGCGCGCCAGCGCCCGCCGCCTTCCGCTCAAGCCCCTCGAACCTGACACCGCCCCCGGCAGCGGGGACGAACGCCACTGCTGGGGCCATGGTGCCCGATCCCGCCGCCGCCGCCACCCTGGCGGCGGCTGACGCGGTGCCGTTCTCGCGTCTAGTGTGGTGGTCAACCATCCCCGTCATCAAGGTCTTCATAATGGGCCTCTGCGGCGCAGCGCTCGCGCGGCAGGTGCGATTCCCCCACTGCCCCCTGTTCACTCCTGGAGGCGCGAGAGTGCGGCAGCGGCGCCGTCCCCGCCTGGGGCTGCGCGCCGCCTCCTGCGGTTGGGGGCTCGCAATCAGAAGCAGCAGACGGCGAGCGCCGGCGCGCGCGCGGCCCGGCGCGGGGCTCGTCACGTCCGCGCGGGGAGGCAGTCTTCGGCCCGCAGCAAGGAGGCGTCGCGCGGCGGCAACCTGCACAATGCGCACACAGACACGCTCTCTTTCTCCGTATCTCTCTCTTTTAAACACACACACACACACACACACACACACACACACACCCCTAACCCCGCAGGGCGTCCTCGATTCCGACGGCCGCCGCATCCTCAGCCGCCTCACCTTTGTGCTCTTCACGCCCTGCCTCACATTCGACAAGCTGGCGCCAGTGCTTTCCGCCGACAACCTCCTGAAATGGATGCCGCTGCCCATAAACGTGGCGCTCAGGTGACCCTCGGCCGCGGCCGACGCCTGCCTGAGCCCTCCGCCTCATCCCAACCCCGGGCTTTGAGTTCATCGTTCACCGGAGGCGCTTCCACGCATCAACTGCGTTACCTTGTTGAAAGGCGTCTGCTGCCGAAACACCTCTTGAAACCCACACCCCTGTCGCCCCAGATCTCCTGCCCCGTCGACTCCCGCTCCCGCCAGATCCTGCCATCTTGCCTCAAATCGTGAATTATTATGCCCGCGAACGCCCAACCGCCGCAACCAACCCCTCCCCCTCACGACCCCAGCGTCGCCGTCGGCCTCGCGCTCGGCGCGGCCCTGGCGCCCGCTGCGCCGCCCTGGTTCCGGCGCCACGTGGTGGCCGCTACTGGGCTGGGCAACGTGGGCAACCTGCCGCTCGTGCTGGTGGCAGCGCTGGTACACGAGGCGGGCGGCAGCTTAGGGCAGGTGCGCTTTTACGCGGGCCCTTGCGCCCCGCACCCTCCCGGGCTTGTGCCTTTCCACGGTTCGCGCTTTTGGGCTTCCATGGGGCAGGGGCTCCTGGGAAGGGGGGGTAGAGCACACTGTGCAGAGTGTTGTCATGATGGTGGCCACCCACCCACGCGCCCGGAGCTTCCTGAGGCTGCGGGGGGGGGGGGCGCAGATTTTGGGGGCCTGGCGTTGGGACGGGAGGAAGCCGGGCAGCGGGTGTCTGCTGACGTCAGCAGGTCTGCTGACGTCATCGGCCACAGCCTCACCCCCCCTCGGAACCACCCCCCTGCCCAAATTCTCAATCGCCGTCATTTGTGATGTGTTCACATCAAGGACCAGCGATGGCTTGCCCGCAGAACCTGTGCATGATGCACACAGCAGGCTGCACTGAAGCTGCCTCAGTGTGAAGCTGCTTGGGATGCGTCAGTTCCCCTCGACCCAACCCACGTAACACCCCTCACATACAACAAACATTCTGTTTCCTTTTGCTGGCGCCTCGTAGGACGCAACTGTGGAGAGGGGGGTGGCCTATGTGGCTCTGGGCATCGTCGTCGCCAACTTCTCACACTTGTGAGCGCGCGCTCGCTGAGCCGGCGACGCGCGAGCTGGGGCGACGCGTTGCATGCGGGGCGGGCTTTCCGCCGCCGCGTCGGCGTGTCGCCGGCAGGGGAGGAGAGTTGGAGGAGGGCGGGCCGGGTTCACGCTTGCTTGTCATTCCTTTCGAGGGGAGGGGAGGAGGCTGTCAGAATGCAGGATGCCGAAAGCCAGGCCGGCTCGGCAGGCGTGAGCGTCGATGTACCTGGCATCTAAGGAGGCAGGTGCACGCTCGACGCCAGGGAACTCGGCCGCTCATGTCCCTCCCTGCCCAGATTGAGTCGGGTGTGGTTGTTAATCCCAACCCTCCTCCCCCTCCCCTTCCCCATCTCCAACTCCCCTATCCCCTGCCACCCTCCGACCCCTGCAGCACCATCGGCATTCGCCTGCTGCGACCCGCGGCCGCCGTAGAGCCACTCGCATGCTCAGCGCAAGCGTCGCCAGCTGCGCCGGCCCCGGCGCCGCCTGCCGGCGCCTGCGCCCACACGGGCGAAGGCAAGGCGGAGCCGCGCGGCCGCCCGGCCGGGCCCGCCGGCGGCGGCCTCGGGGGGCGCGTGGACAGCGATTGCATGCTGCTCAAGGGGGACTGGCAGCAGCAGAAGCAGCGGCAGCAGCAGCAGCAGCAGCAGCAGCACTGCTGCGCCGGCAGCAGCGACGCCGGCGGGGCCTCGACATCGGGCGGCGGCGGGGGGGGCAGCAGCGCCGGCGGGACGCCGCGCTCTGCCGCGGACGCAGCGGGCGGCGCTTTGTCCCCGCATGACGGTGGCGCACGGGGTGGGGAGGAGGAGAAAAAGGAGGAGGAGGAGGGGGAGCTGGTGTGTTTGCTGAGCCGCGAAGGACGCGGCGCCAAGGGCGGCGGCGGCGGCGGCGGAAGTGGCGGCAGCAGCAGCGGCGGCGTTGAAGCCTTGAGCATCTGGATCGAGCCTGGTTCCGCCTCGGCGCCGGGTGCGCCGGCGGCTGCCTTTGAGGCTGCCTGGGCGCGGCGACGGCGGCGAGTGGCGGCCGCGC